TTAGCTTTTGACAATGCTAATCCTGATTGCCAGGCTGCTCTGCGACCTCTCAGAGGGAAAGCACATTTAGTTGATTATGTCAAGGCCTGTGATGGTATTGGAGGTAATCTGCATAAAGCTACTTTGTTGGCACAGGCAATGGCAGGACTGAGAGTGGATAAAGGAAATACTCCATTTCCTGGAGCTTGTTTTAACTGTGGGAAGCATGGTCATACTAAAAAAGAATGTAGAAAAATTCAGCAAGCCAGCCTGCCAGATAGCGGAAAAAAGAAAACTATTGAGCCTGAAATATGTCCAAAATGTAAAACAGGAAAACACTGGGCTAGTCAGTGTCACTCTAAGTTTGATAAAGAAGGGAACCTGATTTCGGGAAATGCCATGAGGGGCCCATCCTGGGCCCTGTTCTAAACCGGGGCATTTCCAGCTCAGGCCGTTCCCTCACCCCTGCACAATGTCTGTCCCCTGCCACAGCCGGTAGTGCCACAGTAGATTTATGCTGCACAAAAGCTGTGAGCCTGGGGAACCCCTGCAAAAGGTCTCAACAGGAGTCTGTGGACCCTTGCCAGCAGGGACAATAGGATTACTTTTAGCGAGGCCTAGTTTAAGTTTAAAAGGCGTACAAATACACACAGGAGTCATTGATTCAGCTTACAATGGGGAAATTCAAGTTGTTGTATCTACTTCTGTTCCCTGGAAAGCAGAGCCAGGAGAGCGCATAGCACAGCTCCTGATTGTGCCATATGTGGGAATGGGAAAAAGTGAAATTAAATGAACAGGAGGATTTGGAAGCACAAATAAACAAGGCGAAGGAGCTTATTGGGTAAATCAAATTACTGATAAACGTCCTACCTGTGAAATAATTATTCAAGGAAAGAAATGTAAAGGTTTGGTAGATATAGGAGTGGACATTTCAATCATTTCTCTACAGCCCTGGCCGTCCATGTAGCCAGTTCAACCTGCTCAATTTAACATAGTTGGAGTTGGGAAAGCCCCTGAAGTATATCAAAGTAGTTATATTTTGCATTGTGAGGGGCCCGACGGACAACCTGGGACTATTCAACCAATTATAACTTCTGTACCTATAAATTTAGGGGGAAGAGATTAATTGCAACAGTGGGGAGCACAAGTTCTAATTCCAGAACAATCATATAACCCTCAAAGTCAACATACAATGCATGAAATGGGGTATGTCCCTGGTATGGGACTAGAAAAACATTTGCAAGGTTTGAAAGAACCACTTCAAGTGGAAAAAGTTCCCGCCAAAGATTAGAATATCATTTTTGATGGTGGCCATTGTTAAGCCTCCAGAACCTATACCTTTAAAATGGCTAACAGATAAGCCAATTTGGACACAGCAATGGCCGCTAAGTAAAGAAAAACTGGAGGCTTTAGAGAAGTTAGTTGCTGAACAATTAGAAAATGGGCACATAGCTCCAACATTTTCTCCTTGGAATTCTCCAGTTTTCATAATTAAGAAAAAATCAGGTAAATGGAGAATGTTAACTGACTTAAGAGCCATCAATTCAGTTATACAACCTATGGGAGCATCACAGCCAGGATTGCCTTCTCCTGCTATAATTCCAAAAAATTGGCTTTTAATAGTCATAGATTTAAAAGACTGTTTCTTTATTATCCCTTTAGCTGAGCAGGACTGTGAACAGTTTGCGTTTACAATTCCTGCGGTAAACAGCCTGCAGCCTGCTAAGCATTGTCACTTGAAAGTGTTGCCACAGGGCATGTCAAACAGCCCAACAATTTGCCAGACGTATGTGGGGCAAGCAATTACATTATTCACTATAAGGATGATATACTTTGTGCTGCCCTCACTTGAGAAATATTAGCCAACGTTGTGATCACTCACAAAATTCAATTTCTCGTGCTGGTTTAATTATAGCTCCTGACAAAATTCAGATTACTACTCCTTACTCCTACTTGGGGACCTTAGTAAATGACACTACCATTGTGCCACAGAAAGTAACCATACGTAGGGATAAATTAAAAACATTAAATGACTTTTAAAAATTACTAGGGGACATAATTGGATACGACCTGCTCTAGGCATTCTTACCTATGCCATGAGTAATCTGTTTTTTATCCTTAGAGGAAATCCTAGTCTCACTAGCCCTCGACAATTAACAAAGGAGGCTGAGGTCGAGTTACAACTGATTGAGAAGCAGGTCCATAAAGCTCAAATAAATAGAATAGACCCAGAGAAGACTATAGATTCACTAATTTTTTCAACTCAGCATTCACCTACTGGTGTTATTGTCCAAGAACAGGACTTACGAGAGTGGCTTTTTCTTCCACATACTAATTCACGGACTCTAACTCCTTGTTTGGATCAAATCGCTACCATGATAGGAAATGGGAGAACTCGGATTGTTAAATTACGTGGATATGATCCTGGAAAAATTATTGTCCCTCTCACGAAGCCACAAATGCAGCAAGCCTTTATAAATAGTCTACTTGGCAAACCCGTTTAGCTGACTTTGCGGGTATTCTCTACAATCATTTTCCTAAAACGAAACTGTTTCAGTTTTTGAAATTAACTAATTGGATTCTCCCTAAAATAACTAAATTTAAACTAATTGAAGGTGCTGAGAATGTTTTTACAGATAGGTCTAGTAATGGTAAAGCTTCTTATTCTGGCTCAAAAGGTAAAGTTTTTCAGACGCCTTATACTTCAGCTCAAAAAGCAGAGCTTGTAGCTGTAATTGAGGTATTGACTGCTTTTGAGATGCCTATTAATGTGATTTCTGATTCTTCATACGTGGTTCACTCCACCCAGTTAACTGAAAATGCTCAGTTACGATTTCATACAAATGAACAACTGATGACTTTATTTACCCAATTGCAAACAGCAGTTAGGAGTAGAACACACCCTTTTTACATCACTCACATTAGGGCTCATACACCTCTTCCAGGACCTTTGACTGAAGGGAATCAAATGGCTGATCGCCTAGATGCTACTGCAATACCTAATGCTCGACACTTTCACAATTTGAGCCATGTTAATGCCTCTGGTCTCAAACGCAGATACGGCGTTACCTGGAAAGAAGCTAAAGCTACTATCCAGCGATGCCCAACTTGCCAAATGGTGCATTCCTCATCTTTTACAGGAGGAGTTAATCCTCGAGGACTGGAACCCAATTCTCTTCGGCAAGTGGATGTCACACATGTTCCCTTGTTTGGGAGACTAGCTTATGTACATGTATGTGTGGACACTAACTTAGTGGCCTGAGCAAACTAATCCAGTAGGTGTCCCAAAAATAATGGCAGTTCAAACACCGGATTGCAAGGAGCGCTGACCACTGTTTCCTGGGATGGAAGACGAGGCTGAGGAAAGCTTCCCTGGGTTCAGAATTACACCTGGGGCTACCACCTCAGGGTCCCCTTCGTTATGTCACCCGGCCTCCCCCTCATACCCTGTTCATGACGGGGACCATCTTAAAGAACCTATCTGTCAAGGCTTAGCTCACCCTCCCTCTTTTTTGCTGCTGTCTCCTTTGACTAAAAGAAGGTGATCTTTTCGGCAACTCATTCTTGAATCTCACACAGTAGCTCTCATATTAAAAAAAAAAAAAAAACTATGAAAGTTTCAAAAGGGTGAAAATAGATATTACGTTAGCCACAAACCCTATATATACAGTTTTAGTAATTACTTGGGCCAGATCTGGAAAGGGTGGGGTGTACTGAACTAAACAAAACTTCTTTTTTTTTTCCTGCCAATTTATGGATGAGGCTAGAAGACTTACTGAGAAGGCTTCTGAAGTTTTATTTTTTTAAAATTATGGAATCAGTATTAAAGCATTGTAAATTTCTTGATTTGCACGGCAGAACAACAGGTAAGCTTGCGAATGTTTAGAATTTCCAGGTGCCAGGGCAAGCCTGCTTAGGAGGCTTAGAAACCCGGTCACTCAGAAAAGCCAGCGTCTGTCCCCACCAACCAGCGTGTGCCTCCCTCACGGTGGGTGCTAAATTGATTTCTAGAAGTAGTTTGATTTTGCCAATTTGATGAGCAATAATAAATGGCCTCTCTTTTTTATTTGATTACTTATGAAGTCAAACCGTTTTTTTTTTTTTGTTTTTTTTTTCCAAGACGGAGTCTTGCTCTATCACCCAGACTGGAGTCCAGACTCGGCTCACTGCAAGCTCCGCCTCCTGGGTTCACACCATTCTCCTGCCTCAGCCTCCTGAGTAGCTGGGACTACAGGTGTGCACCACCACCCCCAGCTAATTTTTGTATTTTTAGTAGAGACAGGATTTCACCACGTTAACGAGGATGGTCTCGATCTCCTGACCTCGTGATCTGCCCGCCTCGGCCTCCCAAAGTGCTGGGATTATAGGCATGAGCCACTGCACCTGGCCGAAGTCAAACCTTTGAATCAGCCTTTTGATCTATGCAAATAGCCTTTCTTATCTTTTGCTCAGTGCTTTTTTTCTTTTTACTTTCAGAGACAGGATCTCACTCTGTTGCCCAAGCTGGAGTGCAGTGGTGTGATATCATGGCTTACTGTAGCCTCAAACTCCTGAGCTCGAGGGATCTGCCAGCCTTAGCCTTCCAAGTAGCTGCAACTACAGATGTATATCTCAATGCACAGCTATTTTTTTTCTTGTTATTTTTTTAATTTGGGACTGCTTTTTTTTAAGTTTTTGTTTTTGTTTTTGTTTTTTTTAGAGACAGGGTCTTGCTGTATTGCCCAGGCTGGTCTCAAACTCCTGGGCTCAAGCCATCGTTTGGCCCCCAGCCTTCCACAGTGATGGGATTACAGGCATGAGCCACCACGCCTGGCCCTTCAAGGAGTTCTGATTTACATATGTATTTACATATGTGATATGAACCCTTCGTCACTTTTGCTGCAAATGTTAATTTCAGATTGTTCTTTCCATTTTGATAGTGTTGATGATGTCTTTGATATGCCAAGTTTAAAGCTCTCAACCTTTCCCCGGGTGTTGATACTGTCCGTGTAGGCACCCCATCCGCAAGTTATAGAAAGAAGTTTCAAGATTTCCTTCCTTTTATTCAGAATTGATCAGGAACGAATTTTAAGATAATGTGTAGGTGAGATAGCCAATCTTATTTCCCCCAATCTGTCTTGCCCATTTCCCTCAACACTATTTATTGAATAAATAATGCTTTTTTAGGACAGGCCATTTGTACCATCTCTGAAGTTGTTGTATACATTCGGGTTCATTCCTTGACTCGATACCCAGTTTCTTGCTGTTCTTTTGCCCTGAGCTAATGTCACACGCTTCTCATCACTGCTGTTTGATATTAGGATAGAATGGTACAGCCATCTGCATGATGCTTCTTTTAAAAATGTTTCCAAACTTTTATTCCTTCATGTAAATTTTAGATACAGATCTGCAGTTTGGGGAAAAATCCCACTGGAAGAATAATGGAATTGCTGAAGTGTGTGGGTGAACCTGAGGTTACCAACTCAACGATGCTGAGAGAGACGCAGCACTCTCGCGTCGCTATTTATCCCGGTCATTTTAGGGCCCCAGAAAAAGCTATTTTTTATGATCTTACAAATTCCATAAACCTCTTGTTACATGTGTGCTTTGTGAGTGTCGTTTTTCCTTGTGTTTTTCCAGCCGGACTTGTTGATTTTCAGGAGAACTGTGGGGCTTCATCATCAGCTTCACCACCAGCTCTGGGTTTCATTCCGTTGTGTTTATCCCACGTGGGGGAGAAGGGGGAGAAGGGGGAGAAGGCGGAGAAGGCCTCAATGGAGGCGTTTTCGGGGCAGCCTCTGGCCATACCTGTCTTGGGAGTTCCAGACGACAAGTATCAAGTCCTTGACCCAATTTCCTCAGAGCCTGCCCTGCCGATGGGCGGCCCTGGCTCGCCGGGAGCAGAAGCGGGTGCTGCCCTTCAGAATCCTGGGCCCGGAGGAGTGGGCGTTGGCTGGTCTCACCTGCCACACAGGTAGAGCCGTCCTTGTTTACCTGGCGGCCCTGCTGGACTCCTACGGGGAGCAGGGTCTGGAGCTGGGCTCACTCAGGGTTCTCGGACCTCGGTAGAGACATATGTGTTTGCTCACGGAGCATGGACGCCGCCTCTCTAGAGGGTCCCCAGCAGACCCAGGTGAGGCGGGTCAGAGTGGAGAGGAGCTGGAATCTGAGAACAGCCTCCGTGGGGTCAAGTTCCTGAAGGACACTTGGGGGCCACCCCAGCAGCTCTCGGGGGGGTGCCTCGGAGGCGCCTGGGGCTATAGTGTTCCACTCATTGTATATGTTTTGGAGGCATCTGGCGCTGTGGGTAGGAGCTCAGGGGGCCATATGCCCCCTCCTCACCACCCTGTGTGTGCTCCAAGCCCACAGACCAGGCTGGGGCATGCTGTTGGCCCTCGGCTGTTGGTTGACAGGTGGTTGGTAGGACCTGGAGACCCACAGAAGGAAGAGGCCTTCCCAGCAGGGGAGGGGACCAGGAGACAGGCAGGGTTGGGCCCCAGGCTGGGGAGCTTCCTTGGGTCCCTGAGATGCAAAAGGACTTCCAGCAGGGAACTGGGGCAGAGTCTAGGCCACAAACCAAGGTGAAGGAGGTGGAAGGGGGGCTGAGGGCAACAGAGGGGTAAGGAGCCCAGGCAGGAAGACTCCGGAGCCACCAGACCTAGGCTCGGGGTGGGGGACAAGGGCCTGTGGAGCAGAAAAGAAACAGTTGGTGATTCTGAGGACTTCACTCATTCATTTTGAAATCAATCAATCAGTCAATCACATAGCACAAAACAGCCGTCCCTAAGTGGCATCACCTGGCCTTCTGCCTCCCCATGTTGGCTGTGTCCTGCCAGGGCCCTGTGCTCTGTGGAAACCCAGTTCCCTTGGGGGCCCACAAGGCCCCACCACTGCCCCACTCAGCCTTGGATCTCATCCCTGCCCTCCTCTGCTCAACTCCTGTTCCATCCGCATGACCCCTCTTCCAGGGAACCTTCCTCACCTCATCCCATCTCAGGGCCACCCACCCTGGCTGCCTGTACTCACACAGCATGGTCAGGCTCCCCAAACCCTGCTCTAGCCCCCACTCCCACCCCTGTAGCCCTTGCCTCTAACAAATCAAGTAATTACAATGCTTGCTACCATGTAACCTGCACTAGGGATGGATGATGCATCTGTCTTGTTCTAAGTGAATCCCAAACTCCCAGAACAGGCCTGGCCCGTGTGTTTGTTGATTGACCAAATGATGTGTTGGGAGGCAAGAGAGGGGAGAGGCTGGCTGGGCACTTGGCTCAGGAGGGAGGAGATCTGGATCCCTTCCAGCTCCTCCTCCTGGCTGTGCAACTTGGCCTTGTTACTGAACATCTCTGAGCCACATCTGTAGAGTGGAGACGGCATCAGGCCCATATCATTGTGTCACGTGGGGCTGGTGAAATCTGGCAGCCCCTGAAGCAGCCTGCACAGGCCTGGCCGTAAGGGGAGTGGGGATGGGCTACACCCTCTGTGGTGCTGGCTGGGAAGACCAGGCCCCAGACCCTTGGGTCTTCCTCCTGTCCGGCTCCGGGACGTGGCTGGGGGGCAGTGCTCACCATCTATGTTGAAGACCGGGACTTTCTGTAGGTGGAATTTCTCCACGTACTCCAAGTATCTTCCCACCCATTTGGGGTCCTCCTGCATTCTTCTGGCTGGAATCAGAGGAGCTGACAGTGAGGGACTGAGGCCTGGAGCCTCTGTCTTTTCTGCCCTCTTCCTCTGCGGAGAACAATGGGGAGGCAGAGGCCCTGGGCATCACCCCACCAATAAGTTGCCATGGGCTGGGGGCTCGTCGGACCACGGCAGCACCCCCTCTGCGACCTCCCGGGCCCGGCCAGCTCTGATTGCAGTGGCCCCAACCTTGTCTCCTCTAAACACAGGTCTGTTCTGAGCACGGCAGGTAAAGTCCCCCTGGAAGGAGGGAGTCAGGCCTAGGCCCGCCTCAGTGGAGATCCCCAGAGGGTCCCGAGTTCCGGCCTGGCGCCACCCTTCCCACCCCCTCGACCTTCTCAGCCCTGGGGCCTCTCGACTGCTGCTGTCCTGCTCCCCCACCCCATCCCAGGCTCGGCTCCGGCTGATCTTCCGCCCTGAAATGCCCCCAGGCCCATCTATCTCCACCTTGTCTTCAGGACACCGCAGCCTCTCGATGTCCCCGACTCTGTCCCCTGTGCCCTTCGAGCCCTTCTCCCATGGTGCTTTTACTTTCAGACCCACAGGACCCCGAGACATTGCTTGATAAGGAGGAAGACAAGGAAAGCATTTTCTCAGTTCCATCCACTGATAATTCAAGCTCCCAGTGCAGCGCCCAGAGCCGTGCCCGCCTCGTAGCCGACCCGCGGTGCACATCCTGCGTGGGGACGTCCTCCCCACGTCCTGCGGTGCACGTCCTGCGTGCGGTGCACGTCCTGCGGTGCACGTCCTCCCCACGTCCTGCGTGCGGTGCACGTCCTGCGTGCGGTGCACGTCCTGCGGTGCACGTCCTCCCCACGTCCTGCGGTGCACGTCCTGCGTGCGGTGCACGTCCTGCGGTGCACGTCCTCCCCCCCCCCCCCCCCCCCCCCCCCCCCCCCCCCCCCCCCCCCCCCCCCCCCCCCGTCCTGCGGTGCACGTCCTGCGTGCGGTGCACGTCCTGCGGTGCACGTCCTCCCCACGTCCTGCGTGCGGTGCACGTCCTGCGTGCGGTGCACGTCCTCCCCACGTCCGCGGTGCACGTCCTGCGTGGGGACGTCCTCCCCACGTCCGCCCGAGGCTGCCTGCGCCCTCAGAACACACTGCACAGGAGGCACCTCCCAGACAGGACGGCCAGTCTCCGCACAGACCCGGGAGTGTCCGGCAGCTCCTCCCTCCTATCTGGGGACCCGGGCACTGCACCGGCCAGCGCTGGGGAGAGCTGGCCACTTACCCAGCAGCACCCACAGGCTGGTGATCTCGTCATCCTCAAAGCGCACGTAAAGAACGAGGTTGCTGTAGTCGGTGCTGACGAAGCGTACGTGCATGCTGCCACCCTCAACTGTGGGAGACCCCAGGGCCGGGTGATACACAATGCCTCGCTCCTCTGTCCCCCAGGCCCTGGACCCCCCATGCCCTGTGGACAGTGCAGTGCGACCAAGAGGATGCACGACCTCCTTCCAGCACCTGGTCTTTCCCCAAAGCCGACAGCCCCCTCCTGAGTGTTGCGGCCAGGGCCGGGTGTCCGAGCGTCCCTTGCTCGCCCCTCCCCACTCAGAGCCCAGCCTGGATCCCGGACAGGGGCACTCACAGGAGCCTTGGTACTGGCCTTGCAACTGGGTTGGATGGACGGTGATGTTTGCTTCTTTACACACCCCTTCTCCCCTGGGAAAGGAGAAGGGAACCAGGGCCTGGTCAGCCTCCAACTCTGTCCTGTTGTCTTGCCCCAGGATGTTGTGACCCTCTCAGGGCTCTCTACCAGCGGACACTGGGGCTGCCACCAGCTGAGAGCCCTCCTGTCCTCCCCGGGGCGTCAGCTCCCCAGGCTCTGGGTCAGCCTTGTCCGGGCACAGGCACCAGGGTCATGCAGCCAGGAGGCGGCGATGCCCAGGGGGTGCTGGGGATGGGGTCGGAGTGAGGAAGTGAGGTCGTCCTCATTTCTGGGATGACACCAAACCTCCTGGAGCGGATTGGTCCCAGTCTGGCCTTGGCTCTGAACTGCAGGTCTTGGGGGCTGGGACCCTGACTGTCGTGCCTGTCCCCACTTGTTCTGGCTCTGTGCACAGACAGAGCCCCCCTCAGCCCCATGCTCCTGCCTCTGTGTGTAGACAGAGCCCCCCTCACCCCCATGCCCTTTGCTCTGGGGTCTTCAGTTTCTCATTTGGGGTGGGTACCCGCCAACCCCCGGGACTCTGCGGGCCCCCGCACAGTGTGTCTGTGACTGAGTGGCTACTAGGATGTGGGTCTCATGGCCTTCAGAGCTGTGGGTGCAGGTGGAACAATGTGAGCTTGTTGTCGGTGTCACTGGGCTCAGCACAGCTTGTCCCCAGGGCTGATTTTCTTTTGCTGACAGCGCAGCTGTTCTTAGGATTCCCTGACTTACATCGGGGCTGAAAGGGGCGTGGACCCGGGTGGCTGTGGTCCTTGGGAGAGGGTTGTTGGGAATTAGGCAACTTTCAAACACTGGAGATGGCACATTTAAAACGCCAGACCCGGGCTTCCTTCACAGCTGGAACACAGGCCCATGGCCCAGTGGGCATGTCTGCTGGGACTGGACATGGCCTCCAGGGCTGGGCTGGTGTTTCCTGCCCGCCTGCCTCTGGCAGCTTCCGAGCTTGCCCCTCTTGGAGCGGGGTCTTGGGCCTCAGCTTGGTGTGATGTGTTCCTCTGCCTCGGAACACTGTCACTGTCCCTTGGGGGTCCCTGGGTCTGAGAGTGAGCATCTGAGAGGGGTGGCAGGAGCCATGCTTACTTCCAGAACAGCACGAAGTCCACGTCCCCACCGTGCCTGGTCTGGATGGAGTGGAGAGCAAGCCTCAGAGGGTCGGCCGGAGAGACCAGGTTTGCGTGGCTGGCTGACAGCTGCAGAGTGAGCCAGCGCCCCTCCACCTGCAGGGGTGCGGGCCAGGGCGGGAGAGGCTGGCTAGTGCCCAGTCGTGTGGCACCCCACCACCTGCAGGGGTACGGGCTGGGGCAGGAGAGGGCTAGTGCCTGGCCGTGTGGCACCCCGTCCACCTGCAGGGGTGCGGGCTGGGATGGGAGAGGCCGGCTAGTGCCCAGCCGTGTGGCACCCCACCACCTGCAGGGGTACGGGCTGGGGCAGGAGAGGGCTAGTGCCTGGCCGTGTGGCACCCCCTCCACCTGCAGGGGTGCAGGCTGGGGCGGGAGAGGCCGGCTAGTGCCCGGCTGTGGGCACCAGTGGGCCACCCTCTGAGCTCTCAGGCCCCAGCTCTGGCACTGAGCATGGTCACCAGGAGGTCGTGCCCCTCCCAGGGGGCTGCACTGGCAAACGTTCCCTCTTCCCAGTCTATATTGGCAAATGCCCATCTGTGGGTCCAGGTGGAGGATAAGCCGTGCTTCCTTCTTGGGAAGAGTCACCTCCCGTCCCCTTCTCTCAGATCTCTGTCCAATCCCCTTCCCCACTTGCTACCCTCACTTCCCTCAGCCCCACACCCCTGCCTCTGCCTGATCCAAGCTCTGTTCCCCTGGCCAGGGAGGGTAGAAGGGAGGGTCTGGCTCTGTGCTGGGCGTCCCTCCATCCCTGCACTCCCACCAGCAGCACCAGGACCCCAGGGGCCACACAGGGAGGAGGAACTGGGACCCTCCCTGCACCCGGGGCTGGCCTCTTCGTGTCACCCAGGGTGAACCCTTCCCCTGCTCCCTGCCTGGGCCCAGCGTCTGGGTGCTCTGCTTCACTGGACGCCGCCCTGCAGCCTTCTCCTGAGACTGCTGTTGTGCTGCGGCTTCCACAGCCAGGAGAGAGGGAAGCGCCCCGAGGTAAATCAGTGGCCGCTGGTTCCGGCTGTGCGGGAGGACAGAGCCCGTTCCTGCCTCGGTTGGACCCAGGCTCAGGTGCAGCTCACCCTCCAGAGCTGCTGCAGGGTCAGGCAGGGCCCAAACCCCAGTCCCCGCCCACCTGCCCCCACCCCCTGCACCTCCTCAATGTGACACTCGTGTCATCCCCAGCCCGTGTTCCAAGCCTGAGTCTGGGGACTGGACCCATGACACTTACCTTCTGTGCATCAAAGTCCGGCTGTACCGGCACTTCTTCCAGAGCCTTCTGGGCACCTGCCAGGCCCAGGCCGAGGGCCAGCAGCAGGAGAGGGCCTTTCTCCAGCGCCATGACTCCGGGGAAGGGAGAGTGCCCCCAACCAGCTCCCTCCTCTGTGCTGCCCAGACCCACCCCACCTTCCCACCCGCCACCTAAAAGTTCCAAGTTCCGCAACCCTACCCCAGGAATGACGCCACCTCCCTGGCACCGCCCGGCGTCTAAAGTGATGGGAAGCTGTGGTTTGGACTGGGTGTGGCGTGGCTGTCTGGGCAGTTTAACTGCATTGCACGTCTGTCCTGGATTCTGAGATGAGGCCTGTGGCCTGAGGGGGGCTGGGAAGAGGGCAGAGGAGGATATGGGCTCATTCAGGCCTGCAGTCCCTCCTCCGCAGGCCCCCTGGCCCCCAGTGTATTTGTCCACCGGCTGCTGGAGCCACAAATGCCAGGATCACTCTCACATCCCTGTTCATCTCCTGCTCATGGTGAGCCTGCCTGGATGTGGGGAGGGTGGAGGGGGTGGGGCCTGCCTGGGTGTGGGGAGGGTGGAGGGGTGACGCAGACCAGCCCTGGGATGGCACTCGGCACGCGCTGGGCACTGAGCCCTCACGGGGCATCTGCCCTTTGTTCCTGCTTACTGCAAACGTCTCCCACCAGCTCCCTCTCTCCAACGCTGGAGCCACTCCCAGCCCAGGCCATGAGCCTCTCTCCTGCCCCATCCTCCTGCCCTCGCGTGTCCAGAGGCCAGCGTGGGGTGAGGTCAGGTGCTCCCTGCTCACCCGCCTTGGGTCCTCGTTTGCCATCTGGATTAAGTGCGGATCTCCAGGCCACAAAGCCCCTGTGGTCTGCCCCTTCCCCACTCCCTCCTTCCCTGCTGCAGCTGCAGAGATGCCTGCCAGCCCTCGAATGTGGTGCCTGCCTCTGTACCCCACCCCACCCCCGCCCTCCCTCCTCCTGCCTGGGGCTGCATGGGGCTGAGAGGCTGCCGGGCCCCCGTAGGTTCCAGCTTACAGGGAGTCTGGGGTCTGGTTTGAGGAGTACCGCTGGCCTCAGGGTGACCACTGGCTAGGCCCCAGGGTTCTTAGATAGACACTAGGGGGCTACTCTGGGCTGGTGCTGCAGGGTTAACTCTAGGAGTGATGCACCCCCGCCCACCATGGGATGTGGGTAGTCCCAAGTTCAACCCACTGAGCTTGTTTTCTCTCCAAAGATGGAGAGGGGGCAGGGATGACACGTCTGTGCAGGGTGCTCTGAGGACGGAGTCAGGTAATAAAGGAAAGAGCTTAGTTGAGTGCCTGCCCCTCATAAGCTCACTGTGAAGTCAGCTTCCGGCCAAAGGTCCTGCCAAGGGTCTGGTTAGGTTTGCATGAAATGCCCCCAGCCCATCGGGGAGGCTCCAAAGCCCAGGCTGGGGAGGGCCTGGCCTGATTTGCAGCGTCTTTCTGGAGGCTTCCATCAGCAGGCCAGGGTGAGGCAGCTCTCTCAGGTCAGCCTTGGGAACGGCCAGGCTACAAGATGAAGTCTCATTCCCCACCCCTGGCCACAGGTGGGCCTGAGGAGACCTCAGGCCCGTCCCCTATGTCCTGGAAGACGGAGCAGCTGCCACCCATGGCTGACTCAGTCTGGGCTCCCGCACACCCTCCAACGCTGAGCTGGCCATGCCTGAGTCAAGGGGCCAGGGACCAATACAGCATCTCGCACCCCACCCACAGCCCCTGCGCCCTGGGAAGGCCCCACCCTGCACCCGCATGCAGGTTCCAGAAGGGGCCAGGGCCGGGCAGGGCTCAGTGCAGGGTGGCAGCTTCTGGCCTCCATCCCTCTTCCTCCTTCTGGGTGCAGGATGTCACTCAACAGCAGCCATACTCAACCTCAAGTTTGCCTGTTTGGTTGGGCCTTAGGGGGTCCTAGCACTCCCTGTGGACCTTCCAGGGCCCAGCTGCTGCCCTGGGTCTATGATTTCTGCCTCTGGGCACCTTCCTCTACTTCCCAACCTCCCTGGTGGCCAGGTGCTGGCCTGAGATCTGTGTGCAGGAGTGAGTGTGCAAGTGTGTGAGATGCAGGGGTGTGTGTGCGCAGGTGTGTGTGAGTGCAGGGGTGTGCGTGTGCAGGTATGTGTGAGTGCAGGGTTGTGTGTATCCAGGTGTGTGAGTGGAGGGATGTGTGTATGCAGATGTGTGTGAGTGCAGGGTGTGCATGTGTTTGAGTGTGCATGTGTGTGTTCAGATGTGTGTGCAAGTGTGAGGTCAGGAGTGTGAGTGCATGGGTGTGAATTCAAGGTGTGTGCAAGTGTGTGAGTGCTGGTGTGTGTGTATATGTGTGTGCAGGTGTGAGTGCAGATGTGTCTGTGCAAGTGTGAAGCCAGGAGTGTGAGTGCAGGGGTGTGTGTGCAGGGGTGTGTGTGCAGGGGTGTGTATGCAGGTGTGTGTGAGTGGAGGGGGTGAGTGCAGGGGTGTGCATGTGTAAGTGTGTGAGTGTACACATGTGTGTGCAGGTGTGTGTGCAAGTGTGAGGTCAGGAGTGTGAATGCAGATGTGTGAGTGCAGGGTGTGTGCAAGAGTGTGTGCAGGTGTGAGTGCAGATGTGTGTGTACAAGTGTGAGGTCAGGGGTGTGTGTGCGGGGGTGTGTGAGTGCGCAAGTGTATATGTGTGCAGGGCTGTGTGTGCAGGGGGCAGACAGAAGGGGTGACTGGAGGCAAGGAACGGGGCACCAAGACTGGGTGCCAGTTTCATGCCATCTGGGGTGGGAGGAGGCATCTGGGGTGGGAGGAGGCTGTGGCTTTTCCTGAGGCCTCAGTGGGAGCTTCTGGGAGGGTCCCCACCTGCCCCGTGAGCCCTGCACGCCTGGGTAGAGAGAGACCTCAGTGGGAGTTTCTGGAGGGTCCCCACCTGCCCGGTGAGCCCTGCACACCTGGGTAGAGAGAGTAGGGGCTTCTTCGGTCTACAGTAGGGTCTTCCCACCTGGATGTTCTGACCAAGGCCGGGCCCTGGACCAGCCATCTTTAACCAGCACTGCCTTGAGGCCTCTGGCCCAACAGACTGGGGACTGCACTGGGAGGGCCGTCCTTGGAGCAAGACCCCGTCCCCTCTGGTGGAAAAGGCCGCTGGCCCAGAGCAGCAGGTGTGGACAGGGGCAGGGATCCATTCACCCACAGCTGGAGTTTGTGCACCTTGCTGTGGATTAAAGCAGAAAGAAGAAGTCACTGCAGGAGCTCAGGGACCTGATCCCCCAGCCCTGCCCACAGCAGCAGCAGCAGCCCAGCCCCAGACTCTGCAGAGCCCTGGACCAGCCAAACCCACCCCAGACGGCCCCGGGTCTCCTGGCTGCCTCTTAGCCCACATGCTCTCAGGGTGAATTTCCTATTGGGAAGTGTGGTCGCCCCACAGCCTGCTCCAGTTCAGGTCCCAGCAAGAACCGAGGCTACGCAAGCGGCCCCTGACGCTGTCCCTTCCTGACGCCCTCTGTACGTGTGCGGGTCTCCTGTACCTGCTGCCCACGCTCACCCACGCAGCCATTCCTGCGGCCACCAGGGCTGCAGCAGGTGGTGCATGGGGTTGTGGGGGGGGTAGATACCAGGGAGGTCACAGATGACCAACGCCACCTGTGATGAGGATGGCAGGTGAAGAGGGTACCCTGGCATATCCATGGAGGGAGACCAGCCCATGGCATGGGGCCCCAGCCCCTGATCCTCACAGCCCACCCCCTGGACTCTCTTCCTTTTCTCTTTCCACTGTCCCCGTATGGGTGCTGTTGTCCCGGGGTTGAGCAGCACCTGCCTCGGGCCTCTGCCACAGGGAGGCTGCCTGCCTTGTGATTTTTCCATGTCAGTCGTGATAAGGAAGGAGACCACACTCCTCCTGCTGCATTTCTTGGTTCCCTGACAAAGTCCGAGCCACGGGAGTGAGATCGTCTCTGCCCTTCTCTGTGACAGAAAATGGAACAGCTCACATATGTGGGGATCCACCGGCCGCCTTCCACTCCAGCGTGCCCTGCCCCTCCCGGCTGGCCCAGCTCCGACCCCGTCTCCCTCACAGCTCAGTCCTCGATGGTCACCTGCAGCCCAAGATCCAACCACGGACACAGACCCAGACCACTGATGTCTTGTGTCTCTCTCTCTCTGTCTGTCTCTCTCTGCATCTCCATCTCTGTCTGTCTCTGTCTCTCCATCTCTGTCTCTGTCTGTCTGTCTCTGTCTCTCCATCTCTGTCTCTCTGTCTGCCTCTGTCTCTCCATCTCTGTCTGTCTGTCTCTCTCTGTCTCTCCATCTTGTCTTTCTGCCTGTCTCTGTCTCTCCATCTCTGTCTCTCTCTCTGTCTCTCCATCTCTGTCTCTCTGTCTCTCTATCTCTGTCTCTCTCTGTCTCTCCATCTCTCTGTCTCTCCATCTCTGTCTCTCTGTCTCTCCATCACTATCTCTCTCTGTCTCTCCATCTCTGTCTCTGTCTCTCCATCTCTGTCTCTGTCTGTCTCTCTCTGTCTCTCTATCTCTCTGTCTCTGTCTCTCCATCCCTGTCTCTCTCTGTCTCTCCATCTCTGTCTCTCTCTGTCTCTACATCTCTGTCTCTCTGTCTGTCTCTGTCTCTCCATTTCTGTCTGTCTCTCTCTCTCTGTCTCTCCATCACTATCTCTCTCTGTCTCTCCATCTCTGTCTCTGTTCTTCTTTTTTTTTTTTTTTTTTTTCTCTCTGTCTCTCCATCTCTGTCTCTCTGTCTCTCCATCTCTGCTTCTTCTCTGCTTCTCCATCTCTGTCTCTGTCTGTTCTCCTCTCTGTCTCTGTCTCTCCTTCTCTGTGTCTCTCTAGGTCAGAAGGATGGCAGGCCAGTCACATGGAGGAGGGGGTGGAAGGACCTTCCTAACTCTAGCAAATCCTGCCTTCGCTGCCTCTGCGCCTCAGGCTCACCCAGCCCAAGCCCTGGCTTAACAGGACGCCCGTCCATGGAGCACCCAGGAGCGTGGCGCTCACCTCCCTCTTCCTCAAACTTCCCACCGTGACTTTTATTCCCAAAGGGAAATCTGTGCACCCCAGACCCTGGTCAGCCCCTCCCCGCAGCGGCCTCCCGGCCACCACCCCGCCTGTCTCGGACTTTGAGCTGGTGGGGAGGGGACCCGCTCCAGTGTGCGGGGACCCTGGGAGTACGAGCAGCACAGGTGGGGAGCCACTGCTCGGGGTTTTTGAATTTCTGTGGTGTCATCTCCTCATTCCTGCCCCACCTCGCCTCACTGCCCCTTCCGGAACCTTCCCACCAAGTCACATTTCCATCAATAACTAGCTCACGCCAACCCCATCTGAGCCACCTGGGAGCTGTGGCCACTTCTACTCAAGAAGACTCTGGGGGTGTAGAATTCGCTCACGCACTTTCCGGTTTTTCTAAACAGAGGCGGCCCTCCTGGTGAGATGTGCTGCTGGAGCTGGCGCTGTCAGGGTCACCCGGGGCGTGAATCGGTCGCCGGCCTTGGGTTTGCCCAGGAGGAGCCGAGGGCTGCCACGCCACCTTCCAGGGGAGCAGCTCAGACGGGCGGCCCTGAGCCCTGTTACCAAGGCCCTCCTGGGGGGCTCGAGGCTTGGCGGGACCCATAAGCAGTGGGGAAGCCCAGGGGAAAGGGGCTGGGTGTGGGGATTCGGCCCTGGGCTCTCCGAGGGGAGGAGGGGGTGTGGAGGTGGAGACCTGGGGGCGGGGTGGGCGACCACCAGACCCCTTGTCCCACGCAGGAGTAGGAGGCCTTCGAGCTGCCGTTTTCCAGGAGTTTGATGTCTGACATGAAACACAGACACGGGGGCGCCTCTGCCCTCAGTGATGGTCCTTGGTGACACGGAGCTTCATGAAGTTTCGTGGTCCCTCCGCCTGGAGGCAGCAGGGCCCGGTGTCCAGCCTGTGGCAGCCCTGCCGAGCCCCTCCTCCCCAGGTCCTGGGCTGCAGCATGCACAGGGCAGGTGTGCACTTTCTCTCACGTCTCATGCTGGGCGGGGGTCTTGGGGGCCGCTGACTCCGAACCCCCTCCCCAGCTGGGCTGGACAGCTTGGTGTGGCCCCATGGCCACGGGTGATGCTGAGGAGGTGGCGGGGGCTCCCTGCATCTTCTCCTACCTGGGGCCATTGCGTCTGTGGCTGTGGGGATCACAGTAGGCAGGCCTGGCCGAGGGCCCCAGGTTCTGAGCCCTGCTTGGACCCTGGCCAGCCGGTGGGGAGGTCTCAGGTGGCCCCCACCCCGAGGGGATCTCAGAGGAGGGAGGGGCAGTGTCCCACGGCTCCTGCCCTCTCCAAGGGAGTCATTCTGCAGATCCCCTTTGTGAGCACATTCAGAGCCCTGTGGGTTCTCAGTGCAGTGCCCACAACAGGCCTGACTCAGCTGCCCCCTCACTGCCGCCTCCCTGTGTAGCAGGAGGCCTGTGCCTCAGCATCTCTGCCTGCAGAGTGCTGTGGGGTGCACAGGGTACTGTGGGGTGGCAGGGGTCCAGGACGGGCCTCAGGGGCCATTGGCTGCCCCCCTGCACCCTCCCCCTAGAACCTCCGGAGCACCTCCTGCTCAGGATGGAAGTCCAACTGCCGGGGCCCCGGCTGTCATACAGCAGGGCTCAGGCCAGGCCCAGCCCCACACTGAGGGGCCACAGCCTCAACGTCCCTGATCATGGCCATTTGGGGACGTGGGGCTGCGGGGCTGCGGGGACATGGGGCTGCAGGGTGGATAAATGGCTTCACCCGGGGGCTTCTATGCACTGCTTCAGAGGCAGGGTGGCCCAAAGAGAACAGGCCCAGGCTTCTCACCCACCAACTCCCTCCCCTCCTTGCACCACCTGCCAGAATCAAAACGTGGCCATCCAGGGCCTCCTAGACGCAGAGCCAGGGCCTCCTAGACGCTGCCAGCCTTGGGTGACATCAGCTTCTGCTGATAAGGTCAGGTAGGTTCTTGGGGCTGGGCTGCCCTCATGGGACTGGGATGGGCCTGGGAGAGATCTAGACCAGGGCACACCTGAGGGCCCTGAAATCTCAGCCCCCCGACATGTCGCTTGATGGGGGTTCTGCCTGTTTCTCTGGGAAAAGGCCGCGACTTTCCCTAAACTCCCAGGGAGCCGGTGGTCACCATGAGCTTCAGAACCGTTGGGGATGAGGCCGTACCTTTGCCCCTGAGGCCTTGGATCCTGTCTCCCAGCGTCCACCCACAAGCGGCTTCCAGTTGCTTTGGGGACATAGAATAGATGTCACTGCCTGGGTGAGCTGGGTCTCTGGGGCCATGGCAGCCAGACAGGTGGGGCAGTGGCCGTCGGGGGAGCTGAGCAGAGACCTCGCTGTGCCCCCGCAATGGCTGCCTGGGGGACTCTGGCAGCACTCCTGCTACTCTGACCTGTGTGCACACATGTGCGCGTGTGAGCATGTGTGCCCGAGCCTGTGTGTGGGCATGAGTGTGGGTAAGCACACACGTGTGATGCATGTCCACAGACACATTTCTGTTTGTGTGACCGTGAGCACGTGTTTGCTTCTGTGCACAAGAGGACACTCGAGATTCCCTGGATGTTGTGGGAATGTTCACACTCTCCTCGGGAAGCCACAGGCTTGTACCCAGAAACGACCTTGATAATGGTCAGCAAAGTGCGCAGGGGCCTGGCCGAGAGCTGAGGGTGGGGCTGGGCCGACAGAACCAGGCCTTGGACGGTCTGTGGCACCACAGAGGACTGAGTGTGAAATCAGACTTTACCCATCAGATCCCAGACACCGAAGCAAGGGGGCTTTCGGAGCAGAGAAAGAGCAGGAAGGAGGAGAGCGACTGTGTTCATCTGAAGGATAAATGGAACGGCCCAGAAACCCAGTAATGCAGGCGGACGGCAGAGTGGCAGGTGGCAGCTCTGTAGACATCAGCTCACCTGGCACACACCGCGTGCACCTCCAGGATGTGCTGGCTACTGTGCTGGGCATGGGGAGAGACGGCCACCCGCGCGGTCCACAGAGGCTTGTGGAACTTACAGCGCGGCCAGGGCCCCACACAGAGCTACACAGGTCGGGGTGGGGCTGTGACGGGCGTCCACCTTTCCAAGTGAGTGGGGTGAGGTGACGGGAGTAGTCAGGAACCGTGTTCCAGAGGTGGGAACAGCATGTGTGAGGGGCCCAGTGGAGCCAGCGACAGCCCAGCCCCCGCCTGGAGCGAGCCCAGCCGGGGTGGGTCCCCGAGGCGCAGGGCTGTGGGGGCTCAGTGAAGGGTGAAGGTGGGTGGTGCTCCATGAAGTTGCCGAGGTGGCCGGGCCACGCCCCGTGAGCTCCTGGCCCTGGGCAGAAGGCAGCTTCACCTGCGTGGTGGAAGCAGTTGGTGGATACAGCTGGGTTTGCATTTTACAGGCCCCTGTCGGCGTGGTGAGGGGCCTTCTACAGGCCAGGGTCCTGGTGGAGGAGGAGAAAACCCAGGTGTGTCCTCCAGGACCTGTGCCTGCCTGTGGGGTGGGGCCGCAGCCAGTCCCTGAAGCCCCACTGCTCTGCTGTGGCCTATCCCACCCCATCTACACACCTTCCCGGCCAGTTGGGAGCCATTCCACGGGGACCCTGTGAGGCTGCCACCTCCAGCCTCAGAACGGTGACTCCCTTGTGGCCTGGAGAGAACACATGTTCACTGAAAACAACTAGCAGGCCAGGCGTGGTGGCTCACACCTGTAATCCCAGCACTTCGGGAGTCTGAGGCAGGCGGATCACTTGAGGTCAGGAGTTCAAGACCAGCCTGAACATGGCGAAACCCCGTCTCTACTAAAAATACAAAAATTAGCCAGGTGTGGTGATGTGTGCTTGTAATCCCAGCTACACCTGTAATCCCGGCTACTCAGGAGGCTGAGGCAGGAGAATCGCTTGAACCTGGGAGGCAGAAGCTGCAGTGAGCTGAGATCGTACCACTGCACTCCAGCCTGGGTGACAGAGTGAGACTCCATCTCCCCAGGAGAAAAAAAAAAAAAAAAAAAAAGCAGTGGCATCAGATTCTTTTAAAAATTTTTACATAGCGATGGGGTCTCCCTGTTTTGCCCAGGCTGGTCTTTGACTCCTCGGCTCAAGCAATCCTCCTGCTTCAGCTTCCCAAATAGCCAGGATGTCAGGTGTGAGCCCCCGTGCCCAGCCTATGCCATCAGGTCCTGCTTCTTCCACCCAGGGAATCCCACAGGGACAGCGGGAGGGCAGAGGGGAAACAGGCTCTGAGCAGAGGGAGCCGGGTCCACTCATCGAGGAGCGACAGACCCAACAGTTCCTGATCACCTTCCCCTGCCACACGGATGTCCCCAGCTGACACTGCCACTGGCGACCTTGCCTGAGACACAAGAGCTGATCAGGAGCCATGGTGGGCCACTGGCCCGCATCCCAGGTGTGAAGGGTAGGAGCCAGCATGGCCCAGGCAGTGTTGGAGACACCCATGGCCCCCTGGGGACCCCACTCTCACTCACCAGAGCCGGGCTGGTGGGGCAGAGATGGAGGTCACCTGGGAGACAGTCAGGGCCCAAGCCTGGCCGCACCTGCGGAGGGCCCGAGAAGCGTCCGGTGTCAGGTGCCCCCAGATTCTGCAGATTCTCCCTCTAGGCGTTTCCACCCAAATGTGCCGCGTGGAAACTGCCTCCATCCAGGCAACGGGCCGTGGCGATGCTCCAGGAGCCTGCTCTTCCATAGCAAACAGGCCTGGAACCCCGGGCCGGAACTCCTTTCTGAAAACAAGTGGGAAAAAATACACAAACTGAAAAGAATTCTGCCGAGACAGCAAGCACAGCACTGGGACGCACCAGTCACCCCCGAAAGGCACGGGAAGGGAGCTGGGACCCCACTGTGCAGGTCACCCGTGGAAGGAACCAGAAGGGAGGCGGGACCTGGGACCGACAGGATTCTCCTTCAACACCTCCTGCCTTGCAGGCGGGCTCAGCAGTTCTCTCCCTCCCCTCTCCCTCCGCCTCCCTCCCCTCTCCCTCCCTGCTTCCCTCCTTCCTCATCAGCAAGTCAGCAACACTCTGGAGGCTGAGACCCACCTGGCCGCTATGTGCTCTGGGCCTGCTGGGGGCTGAGCCTGAGGTGCCCTCCTATGTCCACCATCCCTCTTGTCCCGAACGCCCCCTCGGCTTGCTGGTTGTCATGGTCATGACGCCCACCTGTGTCCTAGGGTGGAGCTGTCTTTCTTCAATGCACCGTCACGGACATGGAGAGGCCAGTGCCGTGGCAGCGTTTCCAAATTAGCTTGACCCACAGGGCACCCCCAGGAACTGCTAGCAAACACTCCCACCTCATGAGGAGAGTGTCCCCCACGCACGGCCAGGGGCGTGCTTTGGGATCTCAGAGGTATCCCCACGGAGGCACCCCAGGCCCTTGCGGGGTCTGAGCATGCTGCAGTGGGTGGGAGGCAGCCGTGTGAGTCTCAGCTTCTCGGCGTCCGAGCCGGGCTCCCCGTGCACAGCTCACATGGTGATGGTCACCGTGCCTTGGTGGGCGGCTCGGTGGACCCAGTGAACATCTGTCTCACGGTGACAGCAAAGCCTACCTTGGAAGAATCCGGTTTAGTTAACTGCGACTCAGGCTGCAGAGCGAGCGATGGGTGGCCTAGGCACGGCAGGTGTGTCAGAACGAGGGTTAGGGCCACTGAAAGACTCCTGGTAAAAGCCCACGTGGTCCACTCGGTGGGGCTTCCGAGTCTTGCCCGACAGTTGCTGTCCCCCAGGTTGTCACACACGCGGACGAAAGCGGGATGGGCTGAATTTCTTGGGTCACATTTTCCACCAATATTTCTGTAAAATTTGGCCCGATTTTTCCCAGGGCCCTTCCACGCAATCAGAGGACTCAGGCTCCACCCAGTGGCCATCGTGGGGACGTCAGCGGCCGGGACCGCGCATCCTCCGGTGAGGCGAATTTTGTATGAGTTAAATCCTTCCAGATTCAAGGTGACAGACTCCTCAGGGGCTGCCTGTGGGCTCGGCATCCTTTCTGTACACACTCCAGCCCCGGGAGCTCCAGCTGCCTGCAATGTTGGACTTGCTTCTAATTTGTCACTGCGTTCCCCACTCTTCTGTAGGGATCAGTGCCAGAGTTAGAACACCCCTGAAGGCTGAGGCGGGAGGATCACCCGAGGTCAGGAGTTCGAGACCAGCCTGACCAACATGGTGAAACCCCGTCTCTACTAAAAGTATGAAAACTAGCTGGGCGTGGTGGCACACACCTGTAGTCCCAACTACTCGGGAGGCTGAGACAGGAGAGTTGCTCGAACCTGGGAGGCAGAGGTTGCACTGAACCGAGATCCTGCCACTGCACTCCAGCCTGGGTGACGAGAGTGAAACTCAGTCTTAAAAAAAAAAAAAAAAGAGAGAAAGAAAGGAAAGAACGAACGAACCTCCCTGGACTTGTGCAGCGGAATTAAGTTGTGGAAACCCTGGAGGCAGGTCCGCCATCAGTGGAGGGGGTAGCTCTGAACCCATCAGCAGGTGTGTGAGATTTGGGGTGCCATGCAGCCCCCAAGCCTGGGAAAGAGGCAGCTGCAGGGGGAGGGGGTCCAGAGGTTGCGGAATCTATGGCTCATCATCTACGTGGTTGTTGAGGGATGGGGGTCAACAGGGAAAAATCCATGTTGAAGTCTAGTGGAGCCGGGGCCACGTCAGGCTGGAGTGGGGCGGCTGTCCCAGGTCACGGGGGTCCCCATCGGGGGAGGGGGAGCACAGTGGTTACGGGAGCAGCTGCAACAGTTACATGAGATGGGACACTCAGCATTTCCAGGGTGCTGTGGTGGCTGCCAGAGCAGGGCTGGGAGATGATTTGGGGGAACAAGGCTCTTCCCTTGTGAGGGACCCATGGAGTCAGCAGCAGGGTGGGTGGGGACTCTGTTGGAAGCGGCCGTGTCCACTGCTGTCCTGAACACATCCCGACAGACCAGCGCGACCTGGGGAAGGTACCCACGCCTGCCACCCACGCTGCCCCTCGAGGGTAATGACACAACACAGGACTCAAAGGCCACCCCATAGATTACAAAGCAGCATCCTTCCTGTTCGCCCTCTGGTGGGCAGGTGTTGCATTGCAGTTTTAATTTACGTTTTTCCAGATGAATAACCATGTTAAACATTTTAATATATATATATAAAAAATATGTTTTTGTATATTTTATGTATTATAAATATAAATATATATATATTAAAAAATATATATATATATTTAAGACAGTCTCGCTCTTGTCACCCAGGCTGGAGTGCAATGGCACCATCTCAGCTCACTGCAACCTCCACCTCCTGAGTTCAAGCTATTCTCCTGCCTTAGCCTACTGAGTAGCTGGAATTACAGGTGCCCGCCACCACACCCAGCTATTTTTTTTTTTTTTAAGTAGAGACAGGTTTCACCATGTTGGCCACACTGGTCTCGAACTTCTGAGCTCAGTTGATACACTTACCTCGGCCTCCCAAAGTGTTGGGATTACAGGCGTGAGCCACGATGCTGGGCCAGCATTTTAATATTCTTTTGTGTGCATATGTGTGTGTAGGGATGGGGTCTTGCTATGTTGCCCAGGCTGGTCTCAAATTCCTGAACTCAAGCAATCCTCCAGCTTCGGCCTCCCAAAGCACTGGGATTACAAGCATGAGCCACCTGCCCAGCCCATTTTTTTCTTTTTGCCATTCGGGTGAAGCTTCTGTTTGAGGGGCTTGTCGGTTTTCAGTGGGGTTGCCTTTCCTTTCCGTTCTGGATGGAAATCCTCCCTGTGACAAATCCTCTCAGTGAACAACCGCTCTGTGGGTTGCCTTTTTGCCTTCCTAATTGGGTCTTAATTGCCGCATAACCCAATTTACCTAACTTTGTCTTTCATGGTGGGCTCTTTTGGAGCCCTGTTTAAGAAATCTTTGTAGACTCCCAGGCCACAACGATGTTCTGTGTTTTCCTCTGAAGCCTTATTGGCCTGGTGCCTCTGGAATTGATTTTTGCATATGGTGTGAAGGGGGGTTCAAAACACATCTTCCAAGGCTAGACACGGTGGCTCACGCCTGTAATCCCAGCACTCTGGGAGGTTGAGGCGGGTGGGTCGTTTGAGGTCAGGAGTTCGAGACCAGCCTGGTCAACATGGTGAAACCCCATCTCCACTAAAAATACAAAAAAATTAGCTGGGTGTGGTGGCACACACCTGTAATCCAAGCTACTCAGGAGGCTGAGGCAGGAGAATTGCTTGAACCCAGGAGATGGACGTTGCAGTGAGCCGAGACTGTACCAGTGCACACTCCAGTCTGGGCAACAGAACGTGACTCTGTCTCAAAAAAACAAAAACTACAAAAAACCACATCTTCCCCATGCTTCCCCAAGTGATGCCACACCATTAACAGAGAAGATCTTAGCCCCCACTGCCTCCTCCCAGCTCTGCCTTCGTCATTGATCTGGGGCTGTGTGGAGACTGTTTCTGAGCCTCTTTTCTGTTCCGTTGATCAAGTTGCCAATCCTTGTGTGATGTCACACTGTCTGCATTACTGTAGCTTTATAATATGCCTTCATATTTATTTTATTTTATTTTACTTTATTTTATTTTATTTTGAGAGGGAGTCTTGCTCTGTCACCCAGACTGGAGTGCAGTGGTACAATCTCGGCTCACTGCAGCCTCCACCTCCTGGGTTCAAGCAATTGTCCTGCCTCAGCCTCCCAAGTAGCTGGGGCTACAGGCGTGTGCCACCACGCCCAGCTAATTTTTGTATTTTTAGTGGAGACGGGGTTTCACCGTGTTGGCCAGGCTGGTTTCAAACTCCTGACCTCAGGCGATCTGCCTGCCTCAGCCTCCCAAAGTGCTGGGATTACAGATGTGAGCCACTGCGCCTGGCCCATTTTTATTTCTTTTGAATGTTGTTCTTATTATTCTTGCTCCTTTGCAATTACAAATGAATTTTTTAAATGGGCTTGTCAGATTCTACACACCAAAAACGCATTGTGTTCGATGCAGTCAGGATTTCATTGAGTTTACAGATTAATTTGGAGAGAATTGATGTCTTGGCAACATTGAGTCTTCCAATCCATAGATATGGTATATTTCTCTATTTAGATCTTCTTTAATTTCTCCCAATAGTGTTGCCTATTTTTTCAGTTTAGAAGTCTTGCATCTCTTTCTTTGCCCTTTAAAAAGTCAGATTTAGTGAGGATGCTAGTAAAAGTCTCCCTTTTTAGTGTACAGTTCCACGAGTTTTGACAAACGCTCACTTAGTCATGGAACCACACTACAATCATGATACCGAACAGCTTTATCCCCTGCCAAATTTCCCTCGTGCCCCTGTGCAGTCAACCCTGCTAAACCACCCCCTGAACACCGCTGAAGTGACCTTTTTGGTATGAATTTCATTCACTCTGCATGATGCTTTTGAGAATATCCTTGCTGTTGCCTGTAGCTGCAGTTTTTTCCTGGTGACTCTTTGTCCATTCACTAGTTCATGGACATTTGAGTTGCTTCCAGTTGGGGGCAATTATCAATTAAGCTGCCTGCTATAAGAGTTCATGTACAAGTATTTGAGTGAGCATATATCTTCATTTGATTTGGCAAAATACTTAGGAGCGGGGCTGCTGAGTAGGGTGGCAAGTATGTGAATTGGAAATGAAAAAAACTGCTGATCTATTTCCAAAGCAGTGGTGTGATGTAGTTTAGATGTTTGTCCTCTCCAAACCTGATGCTGATGTGCAGTCCCCAGTATTGGAAGTGGGGCCCCGTAGGAGGTGTTTGGGTCATGGCTTAGTGCCCTCCTCACAGTAATGAGTGAATTCTCACTCTGAGCTGATGTGAGATAAGATGTTTTCTCTCAGTCTGAAGCTTATCTTTTCATTCTCTTAACAGAGTTGTTTGCAGAGCAAAACTTTTCGATTTTGATGAAGAGTAATATATCAATTTTTAATTTTATGGGTCATACTCACGGTGTCAAGTAAGAACTCTTTGCCAAACCCTAGATTATGAAGATTTTTTCCTATTTTTAAAAAAGTTTTAGAGTTTCATGTTTCATATTTTAGTCTGAGATCTATATTTTGCACTAATATTTTTATAAGGTGTGAGACTTAGATTGACGTTCTTTTTCTTTATTCGTTCTTTCTTCTTTACGAACTTCCTTTCCCTTCCTCTTCCTTTCCTTTTCTTTTTTGCTTAAGGATGTATGATGGCACGATTTGTTCCTTAATTGTACTGCTTTTTTACCTTTGTCAAAAATTGGGTGGGCACATTTGTGTCAGTCTATTTCTGGGTTACCTACTCTGTTCCTTTGACCTATGTGTCTTGTACCTCTACTGTGATGTCTATTTGCAGATGACATGGCTGTTCACATAGAAAATCCCAAGGAATCTACAAAACCAAACAACAAAACCCTAAAACAAATAAATGAGTTCACCAAGGTGGCAGGATACAAGATAAAGTCACAAAAATCAATTGCCTTTTTCTACAAAGTAGCAATGCACAGATGGACACGGCTAATACCATACAGTCTTGTGACTACATAATAATATTTGAAATAACGTTCGATAGGCTGATTACTTCCATTTCATTCTTCCTTTACGAAAATATTTTAGCTATTCTAGTTCCTTCGCTTTTTCCCCATACATCTTAGAATAATCTTACCTGTGTCTACCAAAAAGATTGCTGGAATTTCGATGACAATTGCATTAAGCTTATTTATCAATTTGGGGAGAATTTACATCTTTACTGTGTTAAGTCTTCTAGTTCATTAACAAAATAAGTCCCTCCGTTTATTTAGAGCTTTCTTGATTTCTTTCATCAGCATTATTTTCAGCATACAGATTGTGTACATTTCATACAGTTTACACCTAAGTATTCCACCTTTTTTCTGAGTGATTGTAACTGGCATTGTATTTTACATTTCAGTGTCGATCTGTGCGTTGCTAGTATGTAGAAAAAGGCAATATATTTTTGTGTCTTTATCTTGTATCCTGCCACCTTGGTAAACTCATTTATTTTAGGACTTTGTTTGTTTGTTTGTTTGTTTTTTGTAGATTCCTTGAGATTTTCTATGTGAACAGCCATGCCACATGCAAATAGACATCATTCTATTTTATCCTTTCAACTCTATAGGCTGTTAGAAACTATCTCAGGTCCTGTCACGTGAGCATTAGGGGTGGTAAGACGAAGGAGGTACAGACACA